CCCCATTGTTAGATCTCTTAGTCATTTTTAGCTTTTCAGTCCCTGTGTAGAGATCAACTCTATGCAATGTCGTCACTTCACAGTCTTGTAATTGAAATTCCAATCATGGACTGGTTAACATGCAAGCCAATTACTACACTCAGTTTAAACAGACAGACGCTGGTAATGAAATTGCCAACTGCTATGAGGTTTTAGGAAATGTTTGTATGAAAGTATTAATAAAATAAACGTGTTGTTTGAATCAGCATTGAACTTGCAAGCTTGAGGGAATGTATCCTGCACAGAAAAATGATGGGATGCAACACCAATTCACTCTAGTTTAACGGCACAAATGCAAACAGCCCGGTGTAGCGATGCTATAGCCTACAAGTATACAGAAAGTCCATGATTGGCCTTTAAGTATGAAAACAGCTGCAGCATAAACAATAAGTAGCCTAAAAACTGAAACTCAACTCACAGCCACGAGATAAAAAGAGCACTCACTTACTATTTATCACAAAAAGTGATGAGATGAGAACTGTGCAGGCAAGTAAATCAAAATTATGACGACGAATTAAATCCATAATCGTGCCAGAAAATCATCCTGCTCATTGTGTTGAAGTCTCATCATACACGGATCTCTCTGCTTCCGTCTGCGGCGACTCATCTGTTGTCAACTCCAGATCCACTTGATGCGCACTTCTCCTCTGGCTGGAGCACCATCAAGAGCCTGGATCACACACGAAATAAAAAAAAAACTACAGAACTACACAATGGCGTTCAGGGGGAGGGAGTCACAGCGAACTCTGGTAACAGAGAAGGTAAAAGGCTAAGTGGTGGAATAACATAATAAAATAAGCGACAGGTTTACTTTCTTACAAGTGCCCATATAATTTCCCCTAGCAAACAAAACAGAACAAAGCAAAAACAATAACCATCTTGAACCATCGCAATGTGATAGCCTATAATCAGCCAGATTCAATTGTTGATCCATACTTATGAGAATTAAGCAAGTCTGAAAAGGGATAGGTTTAAGTTAACTCTTTAAAATTGAATTATTAATTTTAAATACCCTGTTTCAATTAATAGTTTTTAGTCAGATAAATCACAACGTTAGTGTTTGTTATCAAGAATTTAATTCATAATTTAATTGAAATGTAGGCTTTGGTGATATTAAAAACAAAACTTGGTATTTCTTTGATCAAAATCAAGATGAAAAGATCAGAATCGCATTTCTTGATAATGTATCAAGGAAACTATGGAATAAGTAGCTTCTAATAACCTACAATGTCGAGCATCAGATCACAATATTGTTTTTGTGAATTAACATTTAGGCTTTGGGTAGCGTATTTGGCAATAATTAAAATTAGGCTACATTTATTTTAAAATTTCGTTTACGGTAGTTATGGGAATTTTAATCATTAAACACTATATGTTGACAAGCAAAACGAACGTCAGTGTAGATGTAAAATTAAATAATCTTGTGAAAACTTAAAGTTAACTTTTAAAACCAACAAACTTCACGTCCAAGTAAAGCGCGAGGCGTTTCCATGGCAGCGTGACCAGGAAGTTGGAGCGCAGGAGGAGAGTGTAAAAGTCGGATTGGTTTTGGCAAATAAAACTAGCTTCTCGCCCATATGACTTTTCCAGAGTTTCAGGTGTTTATTGCCAGAACTTTAGGTTAACATCTCCACCGTGAGTCCAAGATGTCTGGATCCATGAGAGCCAGTTCAGCGCCAGGCTCGTCGAGGCACGCGCTGGGCAGCAAAGGTGAGGTTAATTTATTTATTGTAGCTATAGCCAATAGTGGGCGGGCGAGGCTAGCATGAGAGCTAACAGGTTGACAGTAAACAAACATTCACTAAGTCTAGCTAATGTTAAGGCATCATTCATACTGTCACTACACACATCACTTTACACATAGCATTATGTATCTCATGAGCTAGTTTGTCATTTCTACATTTGAAACTTTCCCTTTGGAGTCACCTCTTTCTCTCAAAGATAAATACAAGTCACACTTTCCCCACTGTTCACACTTTAGAACTACTCATCACATTTTTTCCACAGTCATTGTGCTTATAGTAGAGATGGAAGTTATAATCGTGATATAAGATGCTAGAAATGTATTTATTATTTAGGCAATTTTTGGAAATACTTTATTATGTAGAGTTTACAAAAAATCTATTTCTGAAGGAAAGTAAAAAAAAAAACAAGTCACACTTTGTTTGAAATTCCCCACAGGTAATCTGGCATAACTTAAAACTTTGTAGATTTCCCACAGACTCTTCTATCCAACTTGAACAAAAATATAAATGCTCATGTACAGCAAAGATTTTTGTTCCAAGTTGTGACAAATCACACAAATATGGAATGTCCGAAGTGTCATAGTTTCTTGTTCCTTTTGCATGATGCAAGAAAATTACAAACCTGTTATTGTGAAGACTTATACACCTGCTAGTTTGATTGAGCTGGATGCTGTTTTTTTCAGTGACTGAACTGAATATTCAAGCTCCAGTGGAGAACAGAAAAACACAGCCTCCTCCTGTCAACAACCAGATCATCCCAGATGAACTGCTGGTCAGCCTCACCTCTACTGTCTGCAACAGGAGCACAGTGGGGCACACTGCACACCAACGGCACTGCAAAGTACATTCAAGCAACATTATCTAAAACATTTGTTTTTGTGTGGCTGACAGCAGTCAATGCTGTTGTTATTAAAATAACTTTGTATGCAGGGCGGTGGAATCAGACGGCCAGATGCAGTTTGGCATCATCCTCTGGGACGCAAGAAATACAAATACTTTCTGGAGCAGCCAACATCACTGACTGGAGCTGGCAGGTCAGCTAAGCCAACAGTATATATCCAGCAGTGTATTGTTGCAACTATGAAGTTTATCCAAACATTTACTGTACTTTGAAGTGAAAGTCAGTCAATGGTGTTAGGGTATGCATAGAATTAGTAATTACAGCATGTTTTCTTCTGACCTTAATACAGGACAGTTAACACAAAACCAGCCTGGTTTTGATTGTGCATTATTATCATTGGCTATCTAGCAAAGCCAAACCAACTTTAGGCTCTGTCTGAAGGACCTATAATTTGATAGTTAAATAATAAATCTAGAATCAGGGCAACATTAAATGCCTCAAAAAGTCTTAAATTTGGTTTTCTGCAATCTGCTGTGAGCTAAGAAGACTAAGGGTGCCTGTTTTGTTCTGTTTTGTTTGGATGGTATCATTACAGGGATATTTCATTTCTTACTGACTCTGTGGTAACCCAGAGGAAGCCAGCAACCCTCCCACCACTAAAGACAGAAGACAGAAGTGGCAGTGGCGACATGGAGGTAAGCTGCTTTAGCCCACCTGTTTTGGCTTTCTGACCTTTTAACACTTTATAGGCAAATGTGTGTTTTAATTTTTGTTAGCTATTTATTTCTGCTTTTGTCTTTAAACATTTGGTTTGTTTTACATTTATATAAAGGAACAGGATAAATTCCAGTGTTTTTTGTCATAGTTTTTACAGTTGTCATAAAATATGCTGTAATAGTACTGAGTTCAAATTTTTTATTATTGCAGTTCATCTATACATGTACATGTACACAAGTATACTTTGAGAGGTGACAATCACAGCCTCTCTGTCTTTCAGAGCTCCTGTGTCTCAGAAACTCTGATCCCAGAAGAATATCGCATTGTGAAACACAAAGGCCTGCGGAGCCTTGAGTTTTATGAGGAGTGAGTCTGCTTCATTGTGTTCATTCCACTTTATTGTGGAACTGTGTTCTCTTGTATTATCATTGTCAAACTGGAATTTAGTTTGTCAACTCTCATGTTGCTTCTCTTCCTCAGCGCATTTACAGTGCAGCTGCTGGATGATGAACAGAAGCTACGGGTCTTGCCTTCACTGTGAGTTCAAACATATGAATTCATCTAATTTACAGAAAAGATTTGTTGAGTATTCTGGCCTGGGAGATTTTAGTAATGGTATAGTTTAAGGGAGTAAGAGTGAACTGAATTACATGCTTTTAGCTAGGCAAAGTGCTGGTAAGATATGGGATGAATGTCATCAAGCTTTTGTTGAGTAATACAAAACTGTGCATACCATATGTTTTGTATGTCCAGGAAGCCCAGTGGCAGACTGGAAGTGGTCCAGCTGATGAGGATGATGGACGACATGCTGGAGAAGGCTGGAGTGGATCAACAGAGTGAGGAGCTGACTGAGTTATCCCAGGTAGGCAATGCACAGGCTTCTCTGTGGTTCTATGGCTGACAGTCATGCTTGGGTGCATTCATGTACGGAGAATAATACAGGCTGGCAGAACCTTTGAGGCAAACAACAGGCAACAACTGAAGCCCAAATATTTTCTATGATGTAAGAAAAGGAAAATCAGTGAATATTCATATAGATCTACTAATTCATTAATTGACTCATTCAGTGACTCATTGTACCTGTATTCAGCAATACTAAACTAAAGGTGGTGACTGTGGTTCAGTGAGTAGAGCGGTCGTCTCCCAACTGGGGGTTGGAAGTTTGAATCATGGTGCCTACAGTCCACATGTCGAAGTGTCCTTGGGCAAGACATTGAACCCCCAAGTTGACCCTGATGGTTACAGCCATCAGTTGAGTTGGCGCCGCAGATGGCTGCCTCGGTTCTATACTGGAAACAAATTCCTTGTATGTAACATACTTGGCCAAATAAAGGTGATTATTATTAATTGTGATTCTTGTGTAGATGTATACATACAGTAGGTATAGGTATTTGTACATGTTAGAAATGGTGCAATGAAATGTTTTGCAGATGGAGGGTCTGCTGGAGCTGGTGCATGTTGAGCAGAACATCTACAACATTGTTTTCCATGAAGTGATTAGGCAGGTCAGCGTCGGCTGTGCTGAGAGAGGACAGCTGCTTGCTAAGCTCAGGTTAGCAGCCAGCACATTAAGATATCAAACCTAACCATGTGTCAAGCGAGTTTGAGTTTTACAAAACATAAAACCAGTTAAAATCCTATTAAAGAAATATGGATGTAAATAATAACTGATATGAAAGAAAACACTGTACTGTATAAAACTGTATTACAGTTTTGTTACCTCAACTTAATTCTGAAGCATACCTTAACAGAAGTTGACATTCTCAGGAAATCTGTTTCAATTATGACCCTAGGAAACCTTTTTCTCAGCAGTTCTTGTGTTTGTGTGTCCAGGCAGCGCTATCAGTCCCTGCTGGATCGAATCCCTCGTCATCTGAAGGCTTTACACACCGAGGCTGTGGCACAGCGGGCTCTGGACCGCCGGCTCACTGAGGAGATCTGCCTTATCAAGACATCCATCCAACAGCTCAGCATGTACGTAGGTCAGGGTCAGGCTGCTGGGTCATGATGAATGAAATTACTGTGTGCCGTTAGGCACTGTGATGTGTTGATAGAGTGAATCTATTTTACATGGATATAATGTATGCAAGAAAGGAAAATAAGAGAATGTATTACATTACTTGTGTGAAAATTAGAAATGTGTGTGTGTGTGTATACATTTCTGAATGTATCACTGTATGTTTTATGGGTGTGCGTTCTTTTTACAGGGAACTCTCCAAGATCAGAGACCATGATGCATTTGTTTCCCAGCAGGCGGAACATGCTCAGCAGCAGCTGGCTGAAGCACTCGAGCAGACTCAGGCCAACTCAGAGTCAGTCCTTCATAGGAGTCCAAGTATCATTTAGCCCAAAATCACATTTTCATTTTATTTCAAAACCAGTCTGAACTACATTATTTATTTGGTCACAGTGACAGATTTATTACAGGTTAAGTTTATTTGTTGCTATCAGCGCATCCCTCTTGTAGTGTATACAGTAGTGGTTACTGTTTTGTTAATTATTATGCCAAAATATTTGAGTTTTAGAGCAGCAAATATATGTTATGGGAGAGGAGGGAAGCTTTTTCCAGTAAACATGCAGTGCAAAAGAACCAAATGTGACCAAGTGTTCCCTCTCAAGTGGCGTATGTGCTCATCTCAGTGTGGTTCAGGGCTACCACGAGCTGTACGAGCTGCAGAGGGCCCGCCTTGAGGCTCAGCTGGTTCAGATGACTGAGGAGAGAGACTGCTGGAAACAACTTACCTTCTGCGTCGCTTTTAAAGTGTGTGAGCTATGATGTACTGTACTTTTTTCTTTCAGTTGAACTTGTGTGTCAGTGTGGTTACACTGAATATATAATAGTTTTACTGATTTTGGTTGTGGATTCACAAAGCTTATCAATAGAGATAGCTTCATATAGATACGGCCCACTTTTCTGGAAGCCCCAGCTAACATTGTAAACTGTTAAAGCAGATAGTGTGACAAAGATTTTGTTGCTTCCACCAGATTTCAAAATATGCTCAGCATTGTTAATAGTTGATATAATGTATTAGTTTTAAAACGTTATCACTGTACTTTTTAGCTTGTAGGAACTTAATAAAATATTAATTGAAATGGATCCAAACAAGCTCAGTATGTTTTTTCTGTGGTTGTCAGGTCATCAGCGTAAAGAAGCTACAGCTTGTCAGTCAGCTGCATGTCTGTGAGCAGAGCTGGTTCAAGACAGCAGAGCACTGTGTCCTTTATCTCACTTCAAAGGTAAAAATGCAGTTCCTACATCATAACTTATTCTACATTGCTCATTGCAAAAGCACTAAACACCACAGGTGACTATAAGTACCCCTCATGGTGAGATAGACAGTGACAGTGGCCATCCTGCTGTAGGACACAGACAACCTGAATATCATCCTGGAGCTTAGTGACCACTGGAAAGAGCAGCTGTCTGCATTCATGTCCCAGCTGAAGGAGACTGAAAATGCTCAGTATGAACAGACCAGTGCCATCCAGCAAGGCATCGCTGAGTGGCTCACCTTCTGCATCACACACAACAAGTAGGAAAATTTAGGATACCAAAGAAGAGTACTTAATTTTTCATCATTAAGCACTTATCAGTTAAAGAAAAATTAAATATATTTTTCAGAACACTGTAAAATTTAGTACAATTCTTGAGACTTTACAGCCATTATAATCAGGATTTTACCTAGGTTTTCAGAGGCCTTAGGTGAGGGGGTTGCAGTGGCTGGGGAGTTTGAAATTATTCAAAGGAATTTTTGAATTATTTTGGGCTTTTCTCTTCTCTGTTTTGACCACTATCCTTACTATATTTGTGGATGGAAGCTGGCCACATGTATTGTACATATAGTCAGTATTGTATTTTTTTCAGTTCATAGAATTCTCCCTTTTGTTTTTAGCATAAATTCATTCTAATACAGTATGGTGCCTAAAGGCCTTTTTATATTCATTCAGCTTAAGTTGCTCTGCAAAAACATTTAGGTGCTATGCCTAAGCTTTTCTATGGCAGGGAAAACCCTGAATATAGTATTTAACTCGGCATAGTCACTGAGAAAAATGAATGGAAGAGTGATGTACAGTGTATGTGTGTTTTCTGCCAATGATGCTCCGTCTCTTTTTCAAGGTGTCCTGATCCAAAATATGAGAACGCTTCATTGGAAAGGATTCATGCTGATTTGAAGCGGTGGTCAAATGTGAGACTGGACAATTACTCTGTTATTTTTTCTCATTGTGGTCATTTGATGGTAGCTATCTGACGTATCTCCTTGTTATGATCTGCCCTATGTACGATGTGTCTGCTGTCTCTCACCTCTGTCATCTGTCTCTTGCTTCTATTTTATATCTGTCCACCACTGCTCACTTGTTATCTTTTTTTGATCATAACTGAGTTTTGGCTGATCATTGAACACTAAGCTTCATGTTCAGATAACCTTTAGACCTGGACAAACAAGTGTTACATTTTAAGCATGTTTACTTTTTTCATAAGTTAGTGACCATTTATGCAGCCATAGTTTAGATTGTTTTCCAAATACATTGTGGATACTGTATCAAGTACATCATGGATACTGTATGTTGAAACGTGGGTCATATGTGTCCAGTCAACATTAGGTTTTATCTTGTTGTCCTAAAATACCCATTAGTGTTTCTCTGCAGATGTTGGCCCTCCAGTGTGAGCGCTACCAAGGTGAGAAGGTGCTTGGATTCCAGCAGACGCTGAGTGAGCTTGGCCATGTCCAGGAAAGATGGCTTAATATGAGCCTTCAGATGTTCAGCAGACACCCTTCTCCTGATGGTGAACCCTCTAAAGGTCAGCAGGCCCTGGGAGAGCTGGACAGAGTCCTACCTGAACTACTCAAACAGCTGGACATGCAAGTCAGTGGAGAAAGTGGTAAGGGCTGATACAAACACAATTGTGAATCATTTTTGAGACATTTTAAATGAGGTAAAAACTGTGATTTTGGCAGCCTTCGGACACGTGAGTGAAGTATATACTTTCACTTGCACTGGGTCTTACTGTGGGGGAAGATGCTTAAGATATGGACTGAAGTGTTGATTTCAACCATGCTGTTTCAGGAGTCCACAGACACATCACATCACTGCTTGGGCTTATGGAATCCTGGGTTTCCAAACTTGGTGCAGTGATTGGCCAGCCAGAAATGTCTGCCCCTGTTTGGCTGAAGCTGGAGAAGACACTGTGCAACTGGGAGAATTTGACTGAAGAAGCCTTGCGGAACATGTGCAGCATGCAGGGAGAGAACCACAAGGACAAAAACAAGTCCAATATATAGTAGGTTTTTCATTCTGTCACATTACAAATCATCCTGAATTGGAGTCAGACACTTAAATCAGTCAAGGGTTTAAGTTTATAAATTAATCTATCTCAAAATAATTTGTTAAACTAATGGATTTAATCTAAAATCTGATGCTTAATTTTTATGCATTTTGCACAAGTTTATACCTTAACTCCTATTGTAAGAATTGTAATGTTCTTTAATACAACAAAGTTATTTTGTGTGTCTGTAAATCAAATGCATGTATATTTTAATGTGTATATTCTTGATGTATTTATTATGAGAATGTTTTTAATTATCACAGCAACAATTATTTGCGAATTTGTGCAAATCTAAGCTGATTTTTGTATGTTGCTTTTACTTGTAACTTTAATTTGTAAGAAAACCATGGAAATATTATAGGTTTTTTCTGGACAATCCTAAGTTTAAGTTTTATGAACACATTATTTCTTATTGCTTGTAATAAAATTTGATTGAAAAACTATTTTAACAAGGTGACAGAAACAAGATACGCCTTAGAAATTCAGGTTACATGTGTTTAATAATTCAATTTAAATATGTCATTGGTCTAAAACTCTCTGTTGTTTGTGTTTTTTTTTTTTTTTGTTCAAACAGTGCAGAGACAAGGCAGGTGTTAGACAAAGTACAGGAGTTCATAAAGAGTCTATGCAGTTTTACTGATGGTGTGAACCAGAGGCTCAGGAAGGAGGTGAGTACCCACCAGGTTCAGGTGAAGTGTCATGAGGGGTTTGCACGCATTTTGAAAAGAACTACAGTGTCACTGAAATGCATCTTCTAGTGTGTTTTAAAAGAAACATATCCTCTCCATGAATGTGGTGCTCTGAAATAGCACAGACTCTACAGCCCAATGGCCAAAACTCCTGCTCAGATGTTGTCTCGGTAATTCATGATTAGAATTCTAGATATACTGTAACACACGATGTTTGATGAATTTGTTTGTTTGATTTTTGCAGAAGGATCAGTTTTCCCTAATTATTCCATTTTCATTAAGACTGTAAAATGTGATGTATCACCATTCTGAGTTGGAAATGGAAGGTCATTTGTTTAATCAGTCCGTCTTTTTCACTTTTCAGTTCTTCTCTTTTTTCTCCTCTGTCTTTTATACTAAGCTCTCTCTGAAGCAATGGCTCTAAACCACATTTACTCCTCATAATCCCAGGTACCCCTGCCCCCCTGCCTTCTGTATTGCTTAACTGTTTTTCTCAGAGATTTTGCATAACCTATTTGTTGATAATCTTTTTGAACACCTTGCCTCACATTCATGCAGTTACAGATACCCTGTAACTAGCCAGTATGATGACTTCCACTGTTCTTTTCACACTATTTATCACCGAGAACATCTGCCAGAACAGTTGTGGTTTCAGTCCTCATGGTGCCTTGGTCATGGTTGCTGAGGGAAATGGGATTGATACTGTTAAGTTTGTTTGATTTGTTTTTAAATTTGAGTTGCCATTTTGGCTTTTTAATGGTCTAAACATTTGCTGTGATATTACAACATGCTGTCTTGAATTTGACTGTTTCCTTTCCTACCAGCTCAGTTCTATTCACATGGCTCAGACCCGCTGGATGATAGATCTGTTGCTCCTCATGGTACCTGACCACAGCGAGAACCAGAGTCAAGAACAGAAAGACTACTCTGTTCCAAACATCTCACTACAGACATTGGATAAGGATGCTAAGATACTCACTGAGAAACTGGACTATTTTTCCAGATACATCACAAGGTACCAAATGTTGTGCATTAGTAAAATAAGAAAACTTAGCTTCCTTACACAAGGACTGGGCTAACTTTTACCACAGAAATGGAATGATAGTATGTTTAGTTACTTCATGAAAGCAACACAAGATGATTGACTGGGAGAGGATCAGCAGTTGAGAGTTACTCATGAGAAAATGTTTGTTTTTGAGATTAGCTTTTACAAGCTGATTCTAGAGGAGCGGACTTTGCACAACCCACATCAAGCTGAGGATGAAGATGAGAATGAGGAGTGCAAAAAGCTGCAGGTAAACAATTATCTGACAGAGATTAGCAAAGAATCACTAGTAATATCAGGCATGTCTGTTTTTACATTTCACATAGAAAAACAGCTATCTGACTTCTGTGTGCACAAATACTGCAACATTTCACCAAGTGCGTCCATACTGAACTGCTAAGCTCAGCTCAGTAATCCTCCTTAATGCGTGTGTGTGTATGTGTCTAAGCTCAGCTCAGTAAACCTCCTTAATGCGTGTGTGTGTATGTGTTTTCAGATGGAGTGCATTGATTGGGTGGAGACCTGTATAATTCTGCTCTCAAAAGTGAAAGGTGGTCCTGCGGAGGTGCCTGCCAGGCAACCTGCTACTACGTCCAGGAGCAATGACTCGACCTCTCCAGCAGACAGCACAGAGACTCTGGTGAGGACTCAACTCAGATCAACCCACATTAATCTGTTGTTATTAATATAGTTGTACATCAGATTTGCTGAAGATGGGTGTGACTGTGGTTGCTTACAAATTTTTACACAGTAATCAGTTTATTATTGGAGAAATCTTACTTAGACTTGAAAGCTTGGTGTCAGGTAGCTGACCATGAAACTGATACCACAGTGGGAGAGACTGGCATGGATCAGGTATCAGATTTCACTGTATTCCTGGTCTGTTACTTGCCCAATTAAAGTGTGATCATCTCGCATAAAGTTCGAGTTTGGAAATTACTGCAGAAGTGTGAGGGGAAAAAGAACACCAAAGTGTAGTTTAGTTTTGTCAGGACCAGAGGTCAGTGTTTTTTTTTTAATTTTGATGAAGCTGATTGTGTTTACAGGTGAACAAAGAGGTTTCAGTAACAGAACCTAGAGAGGTGAGTCACACTAAAAATTGAATACAGATGCATTGCTGTAACCAATTTACAGTGTGATTTGGAAAATGGCTCAGTGAATGCACACTTCTAGATAAACCATAACACGTATTTTTGTAGTGAGTGAAAAGTTAAATTAAGAGAAAAGGCATCATTTGATGCAACAGGTCATTCCAGTAATTAGATACACTCCCATTTAACCAAAGGATCCAGGTTGAATATCTACCCTCTGACAATGTCACTAAGTAGGGCACTGACACCCTGAACATTAATATTGTATCAAGTGGGTCATCTGCATTAACAATGAATGGGTTTATGAACCCTCTGTCAATGTCTTTAAACCTATTTTCAATTGATTGTTGTTTGTTAATATTATTTTTGTTGTCAAATTTGCAATAATGGGCACACACATGCTGATTGGCCTCATGAATAAAAAACTATTATGCATGTTGAATAATGATAATTACATATAATTTGAATTTGTGATGAGTACTTTTTGGTTTCTGTTTACCATGTAGGAGGTATGTATAACAATTAATCCTGATTATTTTATGATGATGATACCCCTCTGTCTTCACAGAGCACTGCTGAAGGACATAAAACACATCAAGAGGTGTGTCAGATATTAAAGCATCCTCCATGAAGTTTACTTTTATAAAATTACTTTATAGTCTGGACATTTTATAAAATTCTTGGCCCATCTAGAACAGTGAAATTAGACATTTATGGTTCTTGGTGTGAACACCATAGAGCTTTGTGTGATAAAAGACAAAATGAAAATGTCCCCCCCCCCAAAGAAACTTGTTTCAAGCATGTGTCAGCCAGACTAACTTTACTGCTGCTAAAAATGAACAGTGTTATTGCTGTCCTGCAGGGGGAGCTAAGAGACTATGAAGAAGCAGTGGTTAACATGATTGATTATGACAGAAGCATCATACAAAGAAAGCTGGGAGAGATCAGTGTCCACTTGAAAGGGGTCAGAAAGTTAAACCACACACTTTTCATTTCATTGCTATACCTTTCTTTTTGTATGGAGCTGAACATCCAGGTTGTCTGTCTCTGACCATTGCTGTGTCTCTGTCTATCTGTCAGACTGATGAACTGCGCTGTGTCTCTGTCTGTCTATCTGTCAGACTGATGAACTGGTTGTATCTCCAGTAACAGATGAAGCTCAGAAAGTGTTTAGTGACCTGAGCACAGTAGGATTACTGCAGCAGGAACTGAAGTAAGTTTACTTTCTAATTGTTGTGTGGGACACTTGTATCTTTGGAATACTAACAATACTGTGATAAAATACATGCAATACTGGTACAGCTGGTACTGTAAAAATCTGATTTTTCATTGTTTTCACAAATTGTCACACAGGAAGTGATGTTTTTTTCTCTTATGTTTAAAATAAGAACTGGGAAACTGGCAAGAACAGCATTCACCACCCTGGCTGAATGGTTTGGTATTGCCTTTCATAATTTCCATGTGTTTGTTAGGGATTCAGAGCTGCGGCTCCAGATTGCTGAGCAGCGAGCCCTGAAAGCTGAGGAAGCCCTGCAGGCAGCACTGGAGAAGATTCATGGCATGGGGGAACAACTACAGGGTCTGCCCACTTTGGAGCCCAAAATTAGTGGGGGTACTAAACAACTGATTGCATTTTAACTGAGGAGGAGAGACTGTAACACACTACTGAGGTGTAGCGGTGGTACATGTCTTTTCTCTGTTTGTGTTGCAGAGACTAAGAAAACACCACCACCTTCCCCCCAACCACCAGTAACACCCTCGGCTCCTCCAAAAAAAACAGCTCCTGAAACCAAAACAACAAACAGCACCAAAAAGACCAAGAAACGCTGATAATCTAAGATCTTAAATGATCGTATATGTTTGGAACTGTCCAGTTAATGCTGGGAGAACTGGTTTTAGAATCACGTTTAGGTTTCTGTGTTAGAATGAGAGAGGAACTTACTAGCCCATATATTATCTCACAAGTTTTCAAAAGACAGAAAATAGAAGGAAACAAAAAGGATCATTAACCATCACTGCCATCCAAGTATCAGGAGGTCATCCTTATTCAGATTGCATTGTATGAAAATCACTTATTGAGGTTATCAGTCATATTATGGCTTGCTGTCCGTATGTTTTGTTTTGTTTTGTTTTTTGTCATGTTTGTTTTGCTTCCTTATTTCCAAATGTCAGACTTTTCTGGACATTTATTTTTGAACAGAGTTGGCGAGATTTTTTTTTGCTTCTTAAACACATTAAATGACCAGATTGGGTATTACAGTTGCATGCAAGACCCATAATTTTACAAAATTATTCTGTATTTCTATCATAGGAAATTGAAAGAACAACTGTAGTTTGCTTGAACCAAAGCATATTCTGATTAATTCAATCTTCTGAAGCTTTTCATGTTTAACATTAAAAATATTCACATTTTATCTGTCAGTCTGTCACATCATTGGCGAATCTGTCTCTGGCTCCTCCTCTGTCAGCCCCTCATCTCCATCCACAGCAGGTGGAGGAGGGGGTGGCAGAGATGAATGGTCAGGGGTCAGGCTGAGGAGATCTGGGGGGAATGGCAGGACCAGAGCAGGATGGAGGTGACGGAAGGAGGCCCTGAACTCCTCCCAGACAGCTCTCTCCCCTTCTGTTGCTTTTACCTGGAGGATGAAGCTGCCGCTGTAGGTAAAATGTTCTTTTTACAAGCACTACTGAGCATGCCGAATTTAAAAGTTAGAACTCGGCTGACAAACAGGCATTAGAATATAAAACAGTAAACACTGAACTGTAAAAAGATGGTGTGGTTACTTACTCTGGCCTGCTGTTGTCTTTTGACCTCAGCCTCAGCAGCCAGACTCTGCTGTAACTCCACAGGAAAACTGAGCTCGTCTCTGACAGAAAATCAAACACAAGCACAAAC